AAAAAATTAACCATGTTTGCTGTTCATATGTCTTGTAATTGGGATGAAGTAAACATCTGTTGAGTAATTTAACATAAAATTGTTTGATAGTGTTAATTTGGAAAGCCAAAACTCTAGCGGGTCCACCAGACCCATGAACACTGGCTGAGTAACAAAAATACGAACACCACACAAGGGTTAAATGAACTGCTTAATGGTTCCTGGAAGTTCTGTCAATTTGTGACAATTAACCAAACATTTTAAACCCTCATTCATGGGCCTGTCTTTATCCCTCTCTGCAGACTCTGTTCTTGTGCACAGTATCATGCATTAGCTTATTCCTTTTGTAGTTATAACTTAAACACTATCTTGGAATCATGTGGAAAGCTCTTCCTCTTAGGCTCTTCCACCTTAAAGCCACAGATATGAGAGCTGTGTTCTAAACTGCCCCAATGTATAAGCCTTAAATTTTTGTCAACCAGCTTAAACTCAAGTAAGCATGCAGCTCTTGTTAGTGCCCTAATTTTTTATTTTGTGAAAGCAGTAGTTTATATTAGCCAGATCCCCACCTGTTAAGTTCTATAGTACATAAAAAAAATGCAATATCTATTTAAATCTATTTTCATTGCACTAAATGCCATGTAAGGTATCTTTATGGTCCTTGAAATTAGACACAAAAATCATAAGAAAACAAAATGACCTCACAAATCAAGCATTGCCAATGTGTCCCCAGAGAAACAGTTGTGACATGATGGTAATGAAGATGGTGGTGATGAAAATGGAAACATCAGCTGAGGAATGCTCAAGGTAATAAAAAAACTTACTTGTGCACAGCAGAGCAGAAAAGGCATTAATGGCTGCCCTAGGAAAAAAACAGAAAAGTGACGTCTGACTCATTTGAATCAACACCAAATGAAAACAAAAAACGAATTGCATTTGTAATTGTCAAAGTAAATCTTTATGTATGAGTGAACATGAAATTATTTGACTTCTAAAATTAGAAACATCTTGACTCAGGGTGACGCTGAAAAATTGATTCATCTTCATTATTACTTCCAGTCTGGACTACTGTAGTTCATTTTTGTCAGGATGTCCTAAAGCTCCCTGAAAAGCCTTCAGTTGATCGAAAATGCTGCAGTGAGAGTACTGACAAGGACTGGAAAGTGAGTCTTTTTCTCCTGTTTGCCTTGTCTTAGCTACCTGTTAATTCCAGAACTGAATTTAATATCTTTCTTCTTACATACAAGGTCTTGAATTGTCTTTTCTTAAAGGCTTCAGAGTACCATATTGTCCCAATTGAGCACTTTGCTCTCAAACTGCTGGCTTACTGAGCCTGTGGAACCAAGTAGAGTTTGGATCTGGGAAAAAGACACTTTCTATTCTTTAAGATTAACCCGAAAACTTTTCTTTTTGATAAAGCATAAAGTTAGGGCTGGATTAGTTGACCCTGAATACTGCCTTAGATATACCGGTAACTAAGATATTAAATATAACTGTGCTAATAACACAGATGTGGTTGTTTTAATATACGCATTGAAGGACATTTAGTCAAAAATGGCTCCAAGTATTACTGGAGGTCAAGGTAATGCCATCTAGAGTAAGAATCGTGTTTGTAAAATGGTACAAGAAAGTCAATTTAATCTGAATTTAGAAACAAGGCATTAGAGTTCATCCGGGTCTGTATGTCTTTAAGACATTCATGCAGTTTAACTAATCGGTGTATGTCATCTGGCTTCATGGATCGATAAAGCTAGGTATCATCTGCATAGCAATGAGAATGCACTGTATGTTATGGCTTCTACCAATACTGCCTAATGTATTATGCATGTATAATTTAAACAGAATTGGTCCAAAAACAGAACCCTGTGGTACTCTATAACAGTGCTTAGTGTTTGACTCTCCATTTACACAAACAAATTAGAGTTAATTATATTAGTGAGCTATGATTCAAACCACTGCAGGGCAGTAACTTTAATGGCTAACACATTTTGTAATCACTGTGTTAACATTTTGTGGTCTGTGGTGTCAAATGCTACACTGAGGTCAAGTAAGTAAGTAAAATGCATTTATAAACACTTTTTACAGGTAAAAATCACAATATACTTTACAATAAAACCAGAAATAAAATATATCATAAGAATGAACAAAAAAAAAAAAACATAAAACAACAATTTACCTAAAGGTTGTCAGTATGCCTTCAGCTGTTTTTTGAAATGAATCAGTGGAGTTTACAGAGTAAAGGCAGTGGAAGAAAAATCCACAACCTTGCCCAAAAAGTCATATCCCCATGAATTTTTAAACCGAGTACGTGGGTCCAGCAGGAATCTCCAACCCAGTATTACAGGAAACAGGAAAACATGTAATAGACAGGCCGGTCCACCATGTCCATTTCATGCTTTGCTGCTTTAAAACTGGAAATAGACACACATGCAGAAGTTGTATTACTGCATGCAGATGTTGCATTACAAGCAGGGTGGAGATAATATCTTTAAAGCCTAAAAACACTTCTCCGTGACAGTGTACTATACCTGGACTATAACAAAATCTCAGTTTCTCTGACCACCACCCTGCCTGTCACCCAGTGAGAGCTGGGACAGGCTACTGGTCCCACTGCAACCCTTAACTGGACAGGCGATTAAGAAAATAGATGGATCAATGGGGGGCAGTTAAATATTCTCATATATGGTTAAATGTGGCTTGTAGTTTAAAGAACTATGAGTGGTCAGTAGACAGTGACACAATTTTATAAGTTTGGTTCTTGATGCCGTCACATTGTATTGAAGTTCAGACTTTAATTCGAAGGATTTAATAAAACCATTACTTGAACTATTTATCCAAATATAGCCTATCATAGTTGTCATTGGCTTTATTTATTATCCCAGTTCTCACCCAAAGGTTTCTCAAGGCAAAAAAAATAGGATATTCTTCCATGTCAGCAACCTCATCTCAGTCATGCTTTTCAGTATTGAAGACAGTACTGTAGTCAGAGTGATCCCCAAACAAGCTGCAACTGAAAGCATCTACAGTTAAAGTCTAGCTGAGCGTCCCAAGGGAGTCCATGAATTCTGAACTTCAGCCAATCATGTGCTGCAAAAATGTTCATCCAGAACAATTCAAGGGTCCAGCGCACCAGGCCCAGGGTAGTGTCTCGAGTGAATGTCTGGTGAGCATCTGGTGGCCGGGCCAGAAAAGCAACATGGGTCCGTCCGCCTGTGGGCCCACCACCCGCAGGAGTCGACATAGGGCTTCAGTGTTAGTGGATCGAGAGGTCCTGGCACTCCGATCCCTAGCTTCCAAAACTGGTATTATAAACAGCTAGCCATAATTCATCAACTATTTCTATAAACCACTTGAATTAATGCTGAAAGTCTGCACTTAAATCACACCTTGATTGTTTAATTTAGAGTCCACTGCGGTACTGCAGAAAGCAAAATTACAAAAAAATTGTGTCAAAAACATTATTGGATTCTGGATGAAAAATTGTTCAAAAGCCTATGGCCCTGACTGTATCTATATGGTAAAACTGATCAGTGGGAAATGCAGAAAGCCCTTAGGATACTTACTTAACAGCATGCAGATGCTTGGTTGTGTATTGAGGAATGAGGCGGTAGATGACATCCAGTCCATGGTTTTCTCCTATGAGGTTTGCTGTAGAAACTGTCAAGACAACACAACTGACTTTAACTCTGTTACTAAGATTATCAACATATAAGTTTAAACACAGCGACAGGTAAAGCTTCTGAAATACTCTTCCCTTAAAAATTAAGGTGGAGGCTTTACTTGTTAATGAAGAATTCAATAATAAAGTACTCTGGATGACAATGTATAAGGTCGGGTTTAGGATAAGGGTAAAGTTTGGATTAGAATTTAGAGAAATAGCAGCTATGATTATTTTTAGGGTAAGCCTCCAGGATATGAATTTAACTCCAAGCTGGTGACAAAAACAACTATATTGTGTACCTGATGAACAGAAGACTTGGATCACCCAGAGGCAGGCAGCAGTTCTCCTGGCATGCTGGCCATTGTGTTTCAGCAGATTCAGAGTCAGCAGCACTGCACCTGCCTCTTCTGCTTTCATACCAATACGACGGTCTACATATATATATATACATTGCAATGAATACGCATGGTGACAGTAAGTATTGTGAAAGTAAGTGATGAAAATTTTAAGAATGCAAGAAGTCAAAAACATCCAAAAATAACAGCAACCCCAATGAAAAAGTACTTAAAATAGTAGCATTCAAATATTAAAGTTATATGATTTTTTTCCATCTTTGAAAAATTACCATGAGTGTAATTGTGATTATTACTAGCAGTGATGTAGTAGCATTAATAGCTCTACATAGTTACACCAAGCAGTGATCGCTTGACATGGTGTAACATTAGCAGATGGCTAAACATATCTGCATTTCTAAATGACATATTAAGGACTAGTAATGACATGTAAATGATGAATTAAGCACTTGCTAATAATAACTAAGTGCTACCTAAATGTATTAGCAGTTTGCTTTGTATTTCCATTATAGACCTTTTGCTTTTTTTAAATATTGCAACATAGAATTAGAATAGAATAGAATTCTACTTTATTGTCATTGCACATGTCACAGTACAAGGCAACGAAATGCAGTTTGCATCCATCCAGAAGTGCTTTAGCATGATATAAATATATTACAAAATACATATTAGCAATAATATAGGTATATAGATATATTACAGAAATGGGTCTGTTATAGGTATGAAGGTACAAAAATGGGTCTATTATGGGTATATTACAATGTACACGGTATGAAGGTATGTTATGAATATGCCTTCATACCATGTACATTGTAACATACAATGACCCTCAGTATGATTTAAATTGTTGGTCAGACAAATAAGCACAGATATATCTCTGTGAGAAGCTTTCATTATTCACACACAAACATAGCTGTCAGTGAATAAGGAACCACTGTGCTATTTTTGTAGATCATCTCACCTTTCCTAAACAAACTTTAAGAGTTAGAAAGAGTTATCACAATACATGTTGTTTTGTTCATTCCCACCTTTGTGTCCAACTTTAGCTAGCAGGTGCAGGAGTGGTATGAGTATAGTGTAGTTGGGACTGAAAGTGTGGCCATATTTAACCAGTGCAGTCAGCAGAGCCTCACTACCACCTTTCTTGATCATATAGTGGATGCGCCGATCTGTACCTGAACAGAGAGCAGAGGTTAGTGCTTGGCTGAAAGGGACTGAAATATAAATGTTGCCTTTTTTACTATTTTGAAAAAATATAAAGGATGCTACAAGCCGCATTCAAATGGGCATTCATCAAGTACTTCTATTTATTGCAAAGGACATTACTGCTCCAAATGAAGACTTAAACCTTAGTCATCCTCAGAATACGAGGGGTGTGACAGCCACAGATATCTTCCAAGTGCCCTCACCTTCTAATTCTGAAAAATATTACTTATCTGATAATAAAATCTCTTTTTTTTTCTTCTTTTATTTATTTACCTTTTTTGCGATTCCCCTATTTTATTTGTTTTTCTATCTATGTACTCAGCTGTAACCAGTTTCCACATTTGATCCTATTATATGTCTATATATAGACACATCATTGCCTTTGTTACCTGCAGAAGTTCAGCCTCTGGCTGCTGGGCTGGGGTCTGAATACACTCAGCTTTGACATCACTTGTTGTTGATTAGCTTCTTAGCAATCTGTCTAAGAGCCACAGTTCTGTTAGCAGTATACTGCAGTTGTTTCTGTCTTGGATGTTGTTTGGATTTCACCATTGCACTTATGTCCTTTCATGCAATACAAATAAAATTAATGTCCATATTGCCACTTCTCAAAAGCTATAAACCACTCTATATTTTTTGTCCTCCCAGCATACATGTGTATGCTGTTTTCTTCCTATCCTTCCTGGTGCATATATCTGAAAAAACAAGTAACGCAAGTAACAAAATAATATTAATTTTAATGTATTTACAGAATTTAGTACAGTAACGCATTGCATAACTGCATTACTAAAAATAGGATTACTGTCACCCATTCATTTGGCACATGCTACACCCAGCCCTAGATGCCAGCTGAAGTCAAATGAGCTCTGTTTTCTTCCACCTCCCAATTAAAGTGTGTGATCCTAGCTACAGTGGCCGCTGTATGACAAACAACTGTGGCTGATATTTATCTGCATAGACTGTCACTCTGAGTGTGGGTTGCGGCTCCACTATTTACCTCAGCTGTCAATATGTTGGTTGTTTGTGTTTTTTTACTCATCTAAAACTTTGTGAATCTGTGTTTTGGGTCCGTTTTGTCAATCCACACAGTCTGCTTCTGCCACACTGTGACATAAAGGTGCAGACACATATTAAAATTTGCCTCTCCAGCACAAATGCCTACGAGTTCTCCTCTCCTTTCCCCCTTGGTATACTATATTTGTAGCTGGTCTCTAGCCTCGTACATAAATCGCAATTAGTTGGAACAGTGACGTTCATCCCGGCTATTTTATTCAGGATGATGAGGCAGCACGATGACTTCAAACCATTGCCCGCTCCTGTGTATTTTCAACTCTTTACTCCTTGAAAGGCTAGTAGGAATAATGCTTGAAGAACTTTTCTGAATTGAGGGGTTTCTGTCATATTTCAGACCTGCTTCTAGGTTTCTGACTATGCAGCTACCCTTGGAAAAACCTGGAAACTTTATTAATGATCATCAAGTCATGTTTTTATTGATATATATATATAATGAGGAGTCAAAACTCATCTTAAAGGTACAGGGGAGGTCGTCAAATGTCATCTTTATGGAGGAAAAAAGTGAACGGATGAATTCTAAGTTCAAAAGATTGCATCTGCTTGTTGGAAGATGTAATTACACATGAATTTAAGTACAGTTATGAGTTCTTAGTAACTTAGTTTTTAGTATATTTAATTAAAAAAACAGACTGTGCCTTTAAAGGCTTTGTGTGTTTATTGGCATTTTCCATAGCACAACAACTTTTTACGTAAGGATGGAAACCAATTGGTGAGAAGATGATCTTACCAGCTGACAGAAGTTCATCCAAGACACTGAGGATATTTAAGGTGCTCTCCACATCCCCTACATTCTGCAGAGACAACAAACACACACACACACACACACACACACACACACACACACA